TGCTGACATTATCAGCTGACCTGAGTAAACATAGCAAGGTGGTCAGTGTGTGTGCGCGCTGTCTTAAGTACACTGAGAAGTGTATGTATCAATGTAGACGAGCTGAGAGTTGACTCGAATCACTGTTTTTGAAGATTAAACCCCTCAAGGGAGGTTCCTTGATGTTAGTGAGGGGCTCTTGATCTAGGGAATTGGATCTGTGCTCCAGTTCCTTGAACTGAGCCTAAATGTCTTCCATCCCCCCACCACCACACAGGCGGTATATAATCCTACGGGTTTAGCGCTTCCACATAATAATACTTTGGGGATTAAAGTATTCTTGAACAGTGGTATACAGGTGGAGTGCAGCCTTTATGACTATCGTGTAGTCGATAGGTTTTAAACCTAACAAACTAGCAATTGTTTTTATAATCCACAGGGTTGGAAAGATTAATTGAATTCAATACATTAGCAACTGTTTGTTCATAGTTTCCCTTGAACTATTAACACGATAGTGAGGTTTGAGTGGTCTGTATCTAGGGGTAGGGGGGCCTCTTATTTTGAGTGGGGTGCCACACTCCCCACAGGGTGTTGGATTAAGTACCAAGCATTTCCTTAGGCATAAACGGTGGGGATATTTCCCCCTTGATCTAAATTTACCGACTGCCGATGATATGGAACGAATATGGATTCGGATTGTGGAATATAAAAATTTGAATATCTGTACGTTCTGTGATTATTATTTATTTGAGTGAATCGGTCACGACAGTAACAAGTTGATAAGTGTTAAACCGATCATTTTAGAAAAGGAATTTGCGTAAAGTGCTGTATATGACCTCTGTGTTTAGCGCTTACTTTTGACTATAATAATAATAATTGCGTAAAGTGCTACACGCGCAAACTGTTTTAGTGCTTTATAAATAAAATAGAAAAGATTGTTGCCAGGTGGTCATCAATGAGCACACCCGCGTCTCTTCGAGGGATCTCAGTAGCAGTCACTTGGTTGTGACTTGAGTCCAACATCTGGTGAGTAAATGCATAAGTTTATACTTCCTGGCGCTGTATGACTCGTGCATATTTATAGCGCTAGCGATAAAATGATATATTGATGAACTGTGCCTAGCAGGATTTTCTACACAGGGATTGAGGTACTGAGACCGTAATAGATTTGCTTAAGGAAAAGATATGTTAAGGTAGGGGGGTGGGGGTGGAGTGTGCTTGTTATCACAAATATTTCTGGAACAAGTGTAAAAGTTCACTGTAAATCCACACCTTAGGTTAGGAGAACGTTTTCCTGTGTAGAGTCTTAACAGTTGGTGACTTTTTTCATAAATTTTATCAAGTCTTGACTTAATAAATCTCTAAGCAGAGAAAAACGTTGTCCCAGTAAATTTTTATTTGCGCCGTGTTTTTTTTCTTCACTAGTGTCGTCAGTACGACATTTTAATGCATCGAAGTTTCACTGTCAGGACAGGCTCTTCATAAAGATTATTTCATCTCTTAGTGATTATATTTCATTCTAGATATGCCAGATAGCAACAAATAATTAAGCAGGTATGTAATTAGCTATCAATCAGGTAGGCGAAACGTTTCGCCTACACAGTAGGCTTCTTCAGTCGAGTACATTAAAGTTGATAGAAGCAGAAGATACTTGAAGACTTTACGTCTTCTTAACTTCTTCACCTCTTAATAGTTGATATATTTGCCTGTTCAGTAAAACTGGCTTCTTAAAGAGAAGAGAATTAATATTTAGTTCTTTTTATAGCGTTGGTTTCAATTACCGTGTGGTGGAGTCGCCCACCCGAAGGGAAGTTGGAGAGTTGGGTCGCTGTGGAACATCGGGTGGCCATCTGGTGGACCATTTTGTGGACCATCAGATCAGCTATTTGATGGTTGGCTGCAGACCCAGGAGTGGTAACCAGAGGTGTATGAAACTTCCTGGCCCTAGTTTTGACTTGCCATCCTCCATTTTAAGCAGAATGAGAATTGTACCACTTGTACCCTCTGTCTACATGGAGGTTTCGCTAAACCATACTCCGTTAATATTGGGGTTGACATCCTAATGGTACTCATCAGGTAGGATAGGAGATTGTGACTAGACACATCAGCAGTATTTATTGTAGAAGTTGTTATTGTTGTTCAGGGAGATTTATGGTTAATTTTTATTCACAAGATAGCTCCTACGCATTTCTCACTTCATGTTTGAATTTTCTGACTCGCCAATGCCTGCAAATGCACTTTTGTACCACATATGAAAATAGACCATTCTGGGAAACAAGAATCTTGTCACAGGTGTTCACCCGATTCCTGATGCCGGTTTGAGTGTTGATCCGATTTTTTTCCTTAAGAAAGCCTGACCACTGCTCTCCCACGACGATTTACAAATTTAATTGCAACAAGCATTAAAAATGATTATCAACCTATCGATCGTATGCAAGCTACCAATTATATACATGTAATCCCTAAACTTTCTTACTTACCTACTCGTTATTACTAAAGTCGCTCAGTACGGATTCCTGTACATAATGTTTTTGTACTCCAAACATTAACGAAATTCTTCACACGCTAGCTTCAAGTGCCTGGAAAAACTCGCAGTTACCACCAAGTTGGACTAGAACTGGCCTCGATCAGCCCACAAATCTCTTCCCATATAATGAAAAAAGTGAATAAGATTGAACAGCGCGAATGTCTTTCCTTAAGCTGAGAATATTAAATCTACGGAATATTTATTGGCTACACAGCCAACATGGTTTCCAGTTCGTGTTATGGGCCTGTCACTGAAAGAGCTACTGGTCAAAGGAACTGTGATAATGAAAGGTCACTACCACCACCACTAACGCTGGGACGGTGAAAACTTTGTGTAGAAAGGACTAAACGCACGACTTAAAGTGCTAGTCATTTATTTTACAGTTTTCATATATTTATAGGTATATATTTTGTTCGTTTTGTAAATTCTTCATCTAAGACCTGTAAAAATCACTAAAATTGAACTATGAAAATGTGTTAGGCGCTTGTACCAATCCACAGCTTCTCGGAGATTCGAACCGGGGTCTGTGAAAATGACTGTAGAGATGCTTTTAGCATATTTGCCTGTACTTTATCCTGTGGCTCCTCTGCTGGTGATCTGCTTGTGTTTTGCTTCCTTATTACGTATCTGCTTATGCTTTGTCTTATTTAATAATCTATGCTGCCTTGACGTCTTTCTTGGGCATATTTTTCAAAGCATTCTGAGCAGCTTTCAGTTTAACCGTCAAGTTTTTCTCTTCCTGCTGGACTTTCTCAAGGTGCTTCTTCAGAGTGGCTATTGTCGTGTCATTCATCTGAAGGAAACAAAAGTACACCTTAAAAAGTATGAAAGCTGTTTTGAGTTAGGGGAGCAACCATAACGGGGTGTGTGGTATCACATGTGTTTTTTGAAAGCTACACGACGTAAAAATGTGATACATATTTTTAAATGTGGAAAACCTAGCTTCGGTAGCACAGTGGATGTTTAACCTCGGGTACATAGTGCCGATAAGCCAGCAGTTGCTCTGGCATGCATATAGTACTTTTATTAGCTATAAATCACGCAGCCACACATTCTGCTGTCTCTCCACAGTCAGCCAGTAGCCCAGTAACTTACTGCCGTTATAGGTGTTGGAGCCCTACGCCTATACTGAGGATAAACTACCAGTTTTAACGTTCAACCAAGCAGAGTGAGGAGTTGAATTCCAGATTAGTTGACTTTTTACCTACACCCAGGTCTGGAAGTCAGTCTCACTAGCTCTGACTGATTGAAACATTCTAAGTTCGAATTGACCCTGACACGAGCACAAGGGCATATACATCGAGACGTGTATATGCAGAGAGGTGTACATACACTGAGGTTCACTTTAATCTCTGTCTAGGGGATTAAAATATCCCTGACTGGTAGTGAACAGATTGCTTGTAACTTTAATGATTCTCGTGCAATCGAAAGGTTTTACACTCTCCGGGTTACAAATTTGACAAAATCGTATCGCCCAATAAATTAAACTAATTTAATCTTGACACAGTATTTTATAATTATAACCTTAATTTTTAAACGGGTGATCCGGTAAGCCAGTGGAAGGCCTGGTTCAGATAACCAAAAGCTCCAGTGGCGGGTCATTGTATGACAGACCCTCGTCAGGAAACACTTGTCCTGTTTCCTGACGAATCTTACCTAACCTAACCTTGACACAATATTTGGTTATGTCTTACAGACGGTATAGAAGAGACATATGTATCATTAGTTTCTAGTTCAACTCTCTAACTCAGAGCTGAGGCACTGAGTTCACAAACTTACCTTCTTCGCCTCCATTATCTTCTGGAATTTCTCCGCTTCTTTCATATCCTCGCGGTTCTTCTTCTCTTCCTGCCACACAAACATTTCATTATTGGTTATTAGTTTATCAGAACAACATATGTTCCACATGCATTAAATATTCACATCTAACCCAAAATTTTGAGAGGATACTTAAAATAACGCTACAGTCAGTCCTGGGTTATAGTCACAAGATCATTGCTTTTTTCTCATCAAAATTTAATAGCTGTATGATCCCAAGAGTTTAACGCTTTTTCACTATTATTATAATTATGGGGAAGCGATAAACCTGTGTGTCATGCAGTACTTGGCACCAGTGATTGTCTCACCTTAATCTTGGCTTCCTCTGCCTGGGTCATGAGGATTTTGGTCCGGTCCAGAAGAGCTTTACACTCCTTCAGTTCTCTCTCTCTGTATGTGTGTACTCGAAGTTAGTGCGGTAATCTGTGGTGCACTGGTAGTTATTTTAACATCAGAAGGGTAATGGCGCCGTGTGTGGGAGTGGCACTGTCAGCGAGTGGCACGGGGAGAAAACGAAAATTCGGAAAGTATCTACACTGATCTGGAAGGCCAGCACATTTTTTGCTAAGGACAGACGAGACGAACCTTATGACGACATTGCGGTCGGTGCTGGACCACTGTCATGTCACGGCTGGATCACGGTCCAGGAGGGACCGAAACGTCGTTATAAAGGCGCCTCACTGTGTTTTTTTATTAATTGTTTCAGCCACTCTATTGTGGTTTTGTATTATACATCATATAAAAATTGACATTTTCTCCCTGGGTAAATTATTACTGTAACTGTAGGTAATCAAGAAAGCTGTTAGTGACACATGTAGTGACTGCAACATATGCTACAGTGATAGCAGCTCGTGTTAGAAATGTGTCAGACATTGATATTAATAAATATTTGGTCTATCTTAGATAAATATGTGATAGACTGGACAAATGAAAGAGAGATTTTTATAGTCATGTTGGGTAGACACCGATAGATTACACTCTCCACAACTAAGGAAATGTTCAGACCAAGACCTTCGATTAAATTCTACACGACTAACCCTTCAAGAGGGAAAGGGTTGTCTTGATGCCGGTGTATGGCTCTTGATCCAAGAAACCGATGCTGCCTTTTTGTTAGGCGAAATTTTATTCCATCCTCTTCTCCAAACGTTTTGTGGCCCTTACGATTTTAGCAGTTAACTGTGAAAATAAACCATACCCCCGGCCGGGATCGAACCCGCGGTCATAGAGTCTCAAAACTCCAGCCCGTCGCGTTAGCCACTAGTTGGATGAATCTTATTGTGGCTAGCTGGTCTAGTGGCTAACGGGACGGGCTGGAGTTTTGAGACTCTATGACCGCGGGTTCGATCCCGGCCGGGGGTATGGTTTGTTTGCAATCGTGTCATTACGATTTCTTGAGTCAGAACTGTGAAAATAATAGTAATCTTCGACACAAGGAAATGTTCACACCAAGGCCTTCGACAGGTTAAATTTAACACAATTCGGCAAATGTTCAGACCGAGTTCTTCGATAGATTAAATTCTGAGCAACTAAGAAAACTTCGAACCAACACCCTCGATAGATTTAATTCTACACAACTAAGAAAATGTTTAGTCCTTCTGTAGATTAAGTTCTACGCAAATAAGAAAATCTTGAGACCAAGGCCTTCGACTGAATAAATTCCATGCAACTAAGCAACGCTCACACCACGAACAAGCAGCGTCAACGGTGTGCACAGGAAATAGTCATGAACGAGTTATATAGAAGCCTTTCTCCGTACATGGAATTAGAATTACCCTCTCTTTCCTTGGATCATACCGTCCATTCTACAATTACCCGTCTGTTATTACTGTGCCTAAGACAACTCATGAATTTGACAACTCACACAAGGTAGACCTCTTAAATAATTCCTCATGTACTTAATTAAACGAGTGTTTGAGAGAGTTCCAGGCAGCGACGAGTGGATATATCGATTAACAAATTATAACAGAAAAATGTGTGCAATATATATATATATGTCGTGCCGAATAGGTAAAACTTGCGATTTTGGTTTAAATAGCAACACTCTTCTTGCCGAATAAAGCAAGCGAAAATTTGTGTATGCATTAATTTCGCAAAAAAATCATTCTGAACCTAACGAAAAAAAAAAAAAATCACTGTGTTTGTCTATTATTAAATTATTGTAAACTTATCTAAAATATATTTAGTTGGATTAAGCTAAATTAAATTGTGCTTGTTATAATAAGGTTAGGTAAGTTTTCTAAGGTTCTTTTGGTACAAAATTATTAATTTTTAAATGAAAAAATATATCTTTAAACTTATAAGATAAAATTTTAGAAAGGACTTATATATATATATATATATATATATATATATATATATATATATATATAATATAATATATATATATATATATATGTAAACAGATTAACGATGTAAAGATGATACAGAAAGTGTAATAAACATTGATCATTATAATCAATAAGGCAAACTAGCCAACATGTAGTTAATACTACATATTATTGCTGTATATTTCTGCCTCGCACTATGGGTCTGAAATACAGTCTTCATCTTGTTTTATGGTCTCTATTTACGGTTGTTGGCAACAAAATCATGTGACAAACATTTACTACTGATTATTTTTTATCTCTGACCTCTCGGAAAGCAGTGTCTGGGCGTCACTGGTCTTGACATCAGAAGTCTTCTTGAGATTGTGGTTGTTGATTGTGAGCACCAGAGCTGTGACTGCCAGCAATACGAACGATAGCACTGAGATAGGTAGTGTCATCTTCCTTTCCGTGTTGGTCACCTACAACGACAAACACACGACGTTAACTTTTGTAACTGATCTTCCAGCGAGCTGTACGTAAATGTAGAAAAGCGTAGGTTAAATTAAAAATATAAAATTAGTAATGTTTAATTTTGTGGTTGGCTAAGATCGTTAAGAAACTAATTTACATGAATGTATAAGAAAACTAGCAAAGGAATTTAAGGACTGTTTGGTGGAGGATTTTTTTTTAATTGAGGTCATTAGGTACGCGGGAACCTTTTTAAACTCACGCTGGAATATTTCCAGTAGGTACTAGAGTTTTCTAACATGTGACTGGAATGCTCTACTAGAATTTTCTAGGTGGCCAGTGGTCTGGTGCTAGAGGTCTCGCTTCACCTGGTGAGGGGTCCTGGTTCGATTCCCGGAAAGGTTTGAAACATTGGGCGTGTTTCCTTACACCGGTTGTCCATGTTCACCCATCACTAAAATGGATACCTGGGTGTTAGTCGACTGGTGTGGGTCGCATCCCGGGACAAAACTAACCTAATTTGTCCGAAATGCTCTGCATGGCCGGGCCACCACTTGGAAAAGGCCCGGGCCGGGAGAATACCGGTGAATCTTTAATAATAATAATAATGCTCTGCATAACAAGCGGCTTTCTGTATAGTAGTATGTCATTGATGTCAGCTAGGACTGTATACCTTGTACATGTAGTTGTAGAAATGGATATTGTTATTATTCTTTCTTTCTTTCAACACACCGGCCGTATCCCACCAAGGCAGGGTGGCCCAAAAAGATAAACGAAAGTTTCTCTTAAATTTAGTAATTTATACGGGAGAAGGGGTTACCAGCCCCCCTGCCCCCGGCATTTTATCGCCCTTACAAAACGCAGGGTTTACAGAGGAAAATTCTGTTTCACTTCCCAGGAGATAAGAGGAAATAAACAAGAACAAGAACTAGAAAAAAAATAGAATCCCGGGGGGGGGGGGGTGTATAAATTTTTAAATATATATATATATAATTATTATATATATAGCTTGTACATTATGTGTAGTGTGACCTAAGTGAAGTAAAGTACAAGGACAAAAGACCCCAGCAATCCTACCATCATGTAAAAAAATTACAGGTTTTCGTTGTACACCGCTTGGCAGGACGGATACCCCCCTGGGCGGTTGCTGTTTACCAACCTACTCCCTAGATTATTATTATTTTTTTATTATTATTATTATTATTATTATGGCTAGAGTGTCTTTTTCACAGGATATATCTCCAGGACGGAGTTTTAAACTTACCACCCCCCCGTCCCCGGAAGCGCCCCACAACATGGGCTAACACAGATGTATATTTTTAATCAGGTGGGCAAGGGATCAGGATGTAAAAAAAACCCTATTTTTTTTCTAAGTGTTTCTCCCACTTACCCCTAGGTGCTGTATAACCCCTGCGGATTTAACGTTCTCCCGTGAATGTAATATTGCTGATGTTTTTTAAGAAATTTTTTTTCTGGCCGAGACACGAATGACACGTGCAAGTAATCTGTTCATAGTGAGGCGATAACACCCGCTCCTGTGGGACGTGTGGGCCTCACCGGGCTCCTGCTGGACTGTGGGCACTCACCTCCCCTTTGGGGGACGTGGGGGCCCACCGCTCCTGCTGAGACGTGTGGCACTCCCCTACTCCTGCGAGCGTGTGGGCACTCACCTGACTCCGTGGACGGTGGGCACTCACCTACTCCTGTTGGACGTGGGGGCACTCACCTACCCTTTGGACGTGTGGGCACTCACCTGACCCTGCTGAGACGTTGGGCACTCACCGGGCTCTTGTGGGACGTGGGGCATCCCCCGGCCCCTTGGGACGTGGGGGCACTCACCTGATCCTGTTGGACGTGTGGGCACTCACCTGACTCCTGTGGGACGTGTGGGCACTCACCGGGTTTACTGAGACTGGGGGGCACTCCCCCGGGCTCCTTGGGACGTGTGGGCACTCACCGACTCCTGTTGGACGTGTGGGCACTCACCCGGCTCCTGTGGGACGTGTGGGCACTCACCCGGCTCCTGTTGGACGTGTGGGCACTCACCCGGCTCCTGTTGGACGTGGGGACTCACCCGCTCCTTGGGACGTGTGGGCATCACCCGGCTCCTGTTGGGTGTGGGCACTCACCCGGCTCCGTGGGACGTTGGGCACTCACCCGGCTCCTGTGGGACGTGCGGGCACTCACCTGACTCCTGCTGAGACGTGCGGGCACTCACCTGGCTCTTGCTGAGACGTGTGGGCACTCACCTGACTCCTGCTGAGACGTGCGGGCACTCACCTGACTCCTGCTGAGACGTGCGGGCACTCACCTGGCTCTTGCTGAGACGTGGGGTCACCGGGCTCTTGCTGAGAGTGTGGGCACTCACCGGGGCTTTTCTGAACGGGGGCATCACCTGGCTCTTGCTGAGATGGGCACCACCTGGCTTTTGTGAGACGTGGGGGCACTCACCTGGCTCAGCTGGACGGGGGGCACTCACCTACTCCGCTGAGACGGGGTTGGGCATCACCTGGCTTTTTGCTGAGACTGCGGGCACCACTACCCGCGAGACGGGCGGGCACTCCCTGACCCCTGCTGAGACGTGCGGGCACTCCTGGTCTTGCTGAGACGTGCGGGCACTCACCTGACTCCTGCGAGACGTCGGGCACTACTGGCTCTTGCTGAGAGTGTGGGCACTCACCTGACTCCTGCTGAGACTGTGGGCCTCACCTGGCTTTTGCTGAGACGTGTGGGCACTCCCCGGGTTCTTCTGAGACGTGCGGGCACTCACCTGACTCCTGCGAACTTGTGGACCACCGGGCTCTTGCTGAACGTGCGGGCACTACCTGCTCCTGCTGAGACGTGCGGGCACTCCCCTAACTCCTGCTGAGACGTGCGGGCACTCACCTGCCTTGCTGGGGTGCGGCACCACCTGACCCCGCTGAGACGTGCGGGCATCCCTGCTCCGCTGAACGTGTGGGCACTCACCTGGCTCTTGCTGAGACTGTGGGCACTCACCGGGCTCTTGCTGGGGGACGGCGGGCACTCACCTGGCTCGCTGAACGTGGGGGGCACTCACCTGACCCCCGCTGAGAGTGTGGGCACTCACCTGGCTCTTTGAGACGGGGGGCACTCACTGACTCCTGCGAGACGTGCGGGCACTCACCTGACCCCTGCTGAGACGTGCGGGCACCCCCTGGCTCTTGCTGAGACGTGCGGGCACTCACCTGACTCCTGCTGAGACTGGGGGGCACTCACCGACCCTGCTGGACGTGTGGGCACTCCCCTGGCTCTTGCGAGCGTGGGGGCACTCACCTGGCTCCTGCTGAACGTGGGGGCCCTCACCTGACTCCTGCTGAGACGTGTGGGCACTCCCCTGGCTTTGCTGAGACGTGGGGCACTCACCTGCCCCCTTGGGACGTTGGGCACTCACCTGACCCCTGTTTGAGACGTGCGGGCACCACCTACTCCTGCGAGACGTGTGGGCACTCACCTGACTCCTGCTGAGCTGGGGCACTCACCTGGCCTTGCTGAGACGTTGGGCACTCACCTGACTCCGCTGAACGTGGGGGCCCCACCGGGCTCTTGCGAGACGTTGGGCACTACCCGGCTCCTGTGGACGTGTGGGCACTCACCTGACTCCTGCTGAGACTGGGGCATCACCTGCCCTGCTGAGACTGGGGGCACTCACCCCTCCTGGGGGACGTGGGGCACTCACCTGACTCCTGCTGGGACTGTGGGCACTCCCGACTCCTGCTGAGACGGGGCGGGCACTCACCCGGCCCCCTGGGGGGAACTGTGGGCACTCACCGGCTTTGCTGAACGTGGGGGCACTCCCTGGCTCTTGTGGACTGCGGGCACCCCCACTGGTTTTTGCTGAGCGTGTGGGCACTCCCTGGCTCCTGCTGAGACGTGTGGGCACTCACCTGGCTCTTGCTGAGACGTGCGGGCACTCACCTGACTCCTGTGAGACTGTGGGCACTCACTGGCTCTTGCTGAGACGTGCGGACTCAACTGATCCGCTGAGACGTGTGTGCACTCACCTGACTCCTGCTGAGACGTGTGGGCACTCACCGCTTCTTTTGTAACTGATCTTCCACGAGCTGTCTAATGCTGAAACGTGGTTGCACTACCTGGCTCCTTGAGACTGGGGGACTAATGTTTGTGGTTGGACTCACGATCGTTAGAGACATTGGCATGATGGTCATAAGAGACTGGGGGCACCAGGAATTTAAGACGTTGCGGGGACTCACCTGCTTTAATTGAGGCACTCAGGCCGTAACGGGGGGAACCTTTTAACTCACGGGACTACCTTCCTGTAGGTGCGGGAGTTTTCTAACGTGCGGGCACTCACCTAGATCTGCTAGGTGGCCACCGGGCCCCTGGTGAGAGGTCCATCACCTACCCTGCGGGAGGGGTACCGGGCTTGCGAATTGGGAAAGGCTTTGAACGTGTGGGCCTCACTGGCTCTTACCCCGTGCCATGTTCACCCGATCCCTGAAACTGGGGATCACCTGGGTGTTGTGAGACGTGTGGGTCGCTTTCCCGGGGGACTCAAACTGACCTAATTTGTGGGCAATGCTTTTGCTGGCGCGGGCACCCCCTTAAAATCCGCTGAGGTGGGGACTCACCTGGATCTTTAATATTACATCACCTGCTCTGCTAACAAGCGGCATTCCTGATAGTTAGATGTCATTGGCTTTGCAGCTGGGACTGAAACCCTTTCATGGCTCTTGTGAAATGGATATTGTGAATTATTTCCTGTCTTGCTTTAAACACACCTGGCTTTGCCCAACGGGGGCCCAACCTGACTAACGAGACGTGTGGCTCCTTAATTTGTAATTTATACCGGGCAAAGGGTTAGCACCCCTGACTCCCGGCACTTTGGGTCCCGGCTCTTGCTAAACCCGGGGGGCCTCCCCTGTTTGGAAGACGTGCGGTCATTTCCCCATGGAGATAGAGGCACTCACGACTCGCAAGAACTTGAAGCACTAGACTCCCAGAGTGTGGCATATGTCTTATGATATTTCGCACTACTGCTCTTATAAATGGCATATATCTCTGAGATGTATATGCTATTCTAACGTCCATAATATTCTAGATGCGGTGCCCCATGTCTGTGGAGTGGGGGCACTCACGCTTGCAGAGAAGTGGGCAAGGCTCTGCAAAAAGACTCGCAATCACCATCCTGTGAACAATTCCCACCTGACCCGTTGTACACTCTGCTTGGCTGGACGGTGGGCACTCACCTGGCGTTTTGCTGGACGTCCCAAACCTCACCTAGCTTTTAGACGTATCATGATTTATTAGTGTTACTCATCTCTTGCTGAGATTACTCATCTTTGCTAGAGTGCGCTCTCACGGCTTGCTGAGACGTGCGGGACTGGACCTGTTTAACACTTGGCACTCACCTGTCTCTGGAA